AGAAAAAAAGCCTTACTTTAACACTAGAAAAGGTCTGTGCACACAAAGAAGACTATTTCAACAATATGGCAGATACATTAGCAAAATTAGCTAGAAAAGAAAATCCAATAGAATAGCAACACATACCAGAAATGGGTGCAATCTTCTCTATAATCACATGGAAAGGTCTGACCATTGATATTGGTATCTGGGAATTCATTAAGGGATAGAATTATCGAAAGATTAGTTTTGACTAAAGTAATCAAAGACGGATTCAAAATAGATAAAGTAAAGAGGAAACCAAGATAAACTGGACAGTTTTTTGGAGCCAGTTTAATATTTATCATATATTGTATACATCCTTTAAGGATAATAAGAACAAAAGCTTTTTGGTGAATCTTATTCACAATGAACTTCTGATATTATAGATACTTAGGAAGCAAAAACCAGAAGTTTATAAATCAACTACTTGTATTAGATGTGGAACTTATAAAAAAACAACTGATCACCTATTCTTGTGTATAGTAACAAGCTTTGAAAAACTAGACATCTGGAAAGAAGCAAGTAGGAAGTTGGTCCAATATATTACTGATCAAGTGGAAGTCAAAAACGAAAATCAAGAAGCTATACTTTAAGTAGTTAATACATGGCTTAATAAGATATAGCAATAGGAACAGAGTCTTTTTAAAATAATATATAGATATATATATAAAGACAAAATGAAAGATATTGAAGACTTCCTCAAACTACATTACAAGATAAAACCACTTATCACAAGAAAAGCTATAGGAAGACTATGTCAACGAATGCAAAAGAATTTCAAGAAAAAGATCTGGAACAAATGCTGCAAGGTGGTAATTGAATAGGAAAAAACCTTGGGTATTGATAGGAGATTCAAACGACACCGAGTTCTGAAAAACAAGCTTGAAAACACAAAAAATCCAGAAAAAGATAATAATCCTTTAATAGACAAGATATTACATAAAGAACAATCCCAAGGTATAAATCTCGAGAAGATTATTGAAAGATGGATAGTTAAAGGGGGAATATGGTTAGGTATTTGATCTGCCATTTAGAATTTTGGATGATTTACGATGATGACCTGTAAGCAATGAACTTAATAGCTAAAGGATAATCCAAGTTATTAAGAGAGTAAAATATCATCTCCTAAGTTGCATCTAGAGAAGTTAAACTTCTAAGACAGGTGAGCTGTCATGTGAAATCTTTGAAATTGTATAATATTTTAAATATACAATAAAGATAAGCTGTGTCAGCCTAACGGCAGATTAAAAAAAAAAAAATAATAATTTATTTAGCCAAATTAGTTTATACTTAAAAAGTGAATAGATTTAATTAAAAATTAAATAGTTAATATAAATTATTAATAATAGATTTCAATTAATTAGTATTAAGATTCAAATTAATTTTTCTAAATTCACTAGACTAATCTGATTATATATATATCTGATAGGTTTTTAATAATTCCTCTAATACATCCAAATTATATTATTCACTTAAATCTCAAAAAGGAATATATTATCTTTTTTATTATAACCTATAATATCAAATCAATTCTGATTAACTGATTTTCAATTAAACATAACACTAGATTGAAATATCTTGAGCTAAGAAAGTCAGGTTCCAAAGTTTGCTAATATAGTTGGGATTAAATTTGTTCAGATAATTATTACAGTTGTAAAAGTGAATTCTAAAATTTTGTTCATATTTAATTTAAATATTTATTGTATAATCAAACCAAACATCTTTCTTCATGCAATCCTCAAAATATATCATTTTTAGCCCAGCAATTAATGGAAAGGCCAGAAGTCTATTCTCATACAATTCATTATTTTTCTTATATGGCTCTTATATGATAATAAATTCTAGATCTTGTAATTGTGATCTGGAAGTACTATTACTATATTATAGAATCACAGATCTTAATTAAAATTTTTCTTTTGAAGAAATATTTATAGATAAACATTGAATTATTTTTTTTCTCTTCCTTTAGTATCTCAATTTAGCAATTTATCAATTTCAAGATAATTAATAGTAAATAATAATCCTTTGAATTAAAGACTAAAATATAAGATTGAAATATTATTTATTTAGTTTGAAATAGCTCCATGAACTTTCTCATATTTTAAGTAACTTAATCCATTAACTAATAATGTACAAAGATAAGTTTTACTTCAATAAAGACACTCATGGCTTTTTAATCCTTTAATACGCATGAATACTTTCTACTTTGGCGTAGGGGTTTAGGTACTTTGTAACAAATTCCACGGTCGATCATTTTGCGACAGATTATCAAAATCATGCGATAAATCAGTAGTGATATTTAACCGGCAATAGATCATCTATCAGAAATCAAGAAACATGTCTGATAACGTTGCCCATGCTCTTAGTGGTAATGATTGAATTCTTTTATGACTTTACGTGATATTAAAACTTAAAGCAAGTAATGCTTCTCGTTTAGGTGCCGGAGGTGGTATCATTTCAATGGTTCTTACATATCCCTTAATAACTGTTAGTTCCAGACTCCAAGTTCAAAAGGACAACAAGGGAGCGGATGCGTACAAAGTAAATTAATAAGTAATGCCTAAGTTTTTGAGGAGCAAGTCTATTTGCTCTCTTTTCCATTGAAACACCTATTTTAACAATGTCTAATATATAGGGTGGAAGGGATGCCATCGTAAAGATCATAAGAAATGAAGGAGTTGGTGGGTTATACTCGTAAGAATTGATTTATATTCTACAATGCACATTTTTATTAGAGCCTCGAGAGATCTCACAATTGTGATTAACCTAAATCAGTGGGTTAAGCTCCGCTATTTTTGGAATCGCTGTGTCGAATGGTAAGTAATTATGACTGTTTATGGATGACTCTAAGATATTTAACTTAAATTTGAACTTAGGTGTATATTATTACTTTTACGAGTGGACCAAGGCATTATTCGAGAAATCAACCCCGGGACGGCCTATATCGATTAGAGGATCTATTATGGCTGGTGCAATAGCGGGTGCAGCCACAGTACTAGTTACTAACCCAATTTGGGTGGTCAATGTAGGAATATCAAAATTTACAAAATTATCACCAAAAGCTATTTATTTATTAATGAGTTTGAATGTTTAGACCCGTATGACAACACGTAAAGAATCATTATACGAAGAAAATGCCGGTGAATCGAATGACAATGCGAAGCAAAGGAAATTAAGAACGATTGGGACTGTTTTGAAAATTTTAAAAGAAGATGGGATCGCATCCTTCTGGCAAGGTGTCATCCCTGCTTTAGTATTGGTGGCAAACCCTATTATTCAATATACTACCTTTGAACAAATGAAGGCAGTGATAGAAAAAAGAAGTAAATTGGGAAACATCCACTTCTTTTTACTAGGTGCTATTAGTAAACTTATTGCTACTGGATCCACATATCCTTACATGTAAGTTGAGTTTTTTTCAGCCGATTATCACCATAGAGTGTTTGTTCATCGCGAAATTGCGTATTTCCTTATTTTATACTATATAGTGTAATCAAATCGCGTATGCAACTTCGTCAATCGTCAAAAGACAGTGCTCGCTATAAATCGGTGATGGATGGACTGCGAAAAATTATTCGTAACGAAGGAATTGGTGGTCTTTATAAAGGAATCACATCGAAACTGCTTCAATCCGTCTTAACTGCAGCATTTTTATTCATGTATAAAGAAGTTCTCTTTAAATATAGCGTGGCTTTCTTATTTCTTATTGGGGCTAGGCAGCGTATAACACAGTAAATAATGTGCTATTACAAACTTTCATTTATAATTGCGAAAATAATGCATGTTTAATAGAGAAGTAATTCTATATCAATATTTATACAAGAATATCATTAACAAGCAATGATAATTTTTTAATTACTAAATGTATGAATTAATTCCTGTAATACATTATAGCAAAGGAATTACTTTCGATATTGTCATTTCTGTCGGAATTATGAAAAAGATCTTGCGTTTTCAATAGATAGTCAATACATTATGTTCACTATTCTTCATTACTAAATATCTATTTTACAAACTTTAATTATATTTATTAGTATAGTTTTTGGAATTTTTTTATAAATAATTCTAGTTTATTAAAAAATTTTTATATTTGTTTTTACTATATTACAAGTTTTATATCAGATTTTAATCCAAGCTATTGATTGGTTACTTGAAAACTTTAAGGATATTTAATTTAAAGTAAGAATTATTGTTTATTGAGGTTATCACGTTTTTTAATAAGCTATTTATTTTAAAAAAATTTTTTTTAATATATTAATATATCATAGAATTCTTTTTTTTTTAACTCACAATTATATTATAATGAATTGTTTTTATTATGAAATTAAAACTAAATCTACAATTGTTTACAGACTTTTACAATATAATTAACCTGTTATTATATATATTATTTTAAGTTAGATTTTAAGAACAATGTTACACTTCCATGATAGATTAGTTATAATCTTTATCTATCAAAATCATTATCAATAGTTTATTACTATTAATCGATCTGAAAATCAATAAATTCTCAAGTTAAAAAAAAAGAAAAAAGAAAAGTGATTAAAGAAAAAGAACAATTTAAGGTTTTCCAAAAAAGTCTAAAAATAAAAATAATCTCTTCTCAAAAAGAATTTGTCTAATTGAAATAGTTTTTTTATTTCACTTGAACTTCAAAAGAAAATTTCTTTTTTACTACTTGTAATATTAGACAAGTCAATTTAACTGATTTTTTATTTACAGTCCTGAATATAAATAACTGACCCCCCTAACTCCTAAGAAAGTAAATAAATTTAAAAACATTAATAATGCTGATCCTTAGTATATTATGTAATTCCTCTGTGCTTCTATTAAAACCTCCATATGACGATTTATGCTGCCTACTAATTTGGTGGCAATTCAGGTGAGAGATTGTTCTATTCTCTCTCTATTAATAGTTTTAGAGACTAACTGATTGAATTTTTTTTTTTTGTTAGGTTTAATTTCAATACCTGCCAAACATTTTCAATAAGGTTTTGATTGGGTGACATCGACGGCCAGGAAAAAACATTAATGCCCTTTTTTTCCTTCCAAATTTTCACAATTTTTGAATGATGCTTCAGATCATTATCTTCTTGTAGAAATTATTTTAAGTTATCTGCACCAGAAAATTCAGTAGAGGAGGGTAGAAAACCCCTTTCATAGATCTTGCACATAAAATCAACATTAAGGTTTTGCCAGAAGTATACTAACCTGCCAAATCCAAAAGCTGAAAAACACTCCACACATAGATTTTCGGTGAGTGCTTGACAGTACAAACAATTTTTTTTTTCTATCTAATTGCCAACACTTTTTTTTCGATAGGAATAAGTAAAAAGAACTCTTATCTATAAAAATAACTGAGTTCCAATCAAAATTTTGATGATTTTTTGTCCACTGGAGCCATTTTTTTTATGGTTATCTGTAAGAAGAGATTTTTAGATTTCGTTTGCATATTTGTCCCCAAATTCATGAATACATCACTAAATAGTTCTTGAACTAATGCTTATATATTTTTTTTTACATGATTCCTTGTATTTCATCACTAGTTATATTGTGCTCTGTTTTTGTCATTTTGATTATTTATTCATTCTGCTTTGTTGTCATGTTGCATCTCCGGCCGGTCTTTGATTCGTCAAATAGATCTTTTGAGATCCACCACCTTTGGATCCAATAAATAATAGTGGATTTAGAGCAGCCAACATAAGCTGCTATCTCTGAAAAACTCATGTTCTTTACCTTTGGGTGTTCATGTAAAAATATGATTTCATAATGTCTATGAAGTGGAAGGACCATAATTTTGATACAACATTCACTAATAATTTATCTCCTGACTTAGAAGTCCTACAAATTTGAAAATATACACGAAATCAGGATTGGTGTTACCCTTGAATGGCTGAAATTTTGAAAGGGTGTTATTAAGTAAAAAAAAAAATAGATCAGGTTAGTTACTTATGTTCAGGGTTGTAAGTAAGCATCAGATTATAATACTGTATTTTAAAGAAAACATTTAGACCTTAACTTTTTTTTATTAAAACTTTATTATTACCTGAGGAACTTAAGTAAGAGATAGAAGTTTGCAATTCATATTATTCATTACTTTTGATATTATAAAAGTTTTCATAAAGAAATTTGGGTTTCTGAAGACAAACATTTTCAAAACATTCTTTTTAATTATCAATAATATTATTGAAACAGGTGAATATAATCAATAAGAGCTTGTTTATATTCAAAAAGCTAATATGTTTTGTGTTAACTAATCACTTTTAATGAGAATTTGTGTTATATAAAATTTAGGATCAACTGAGATAGACAAAATTCTTTAGAAAACTATAAAGTAGATGCTCTAAGAGAGCCAAGACAATTAAAAAGAAATAAAATAAGTCTTTTTATTATAAAAAACCTCTATAAATCTCTTATTTCAAAGATTAAACAAGTCTTTAAATACTTCACAATTAGTTTTTTTTTTTTGAAAAATTTTTTATTATTGATATCAAAAATATTACTTTACTTTTCTTGATTATCAAAAGTCAAGTTTTTGAGTGAAAATGTTTATAAACAAAAAGAAAAGAATAGATGCTACTCTTGAAGCTATACTTCAAATTATTTTAAGAAAAGTGTTAAGAATTTATTAGTAAATAAATGTAAAAACTTCTTGTGAATATCTTTTTTATATATGGTTAAAAAATTAATGAAAAGAGTTTTATTAATATATATAATTTTATATTATTATTATTATTTTTATTTTTTTTTTGTTTAATCACAACTGGTATTAGATGTGAGCACATTTTATTAAGAATTTACTTAACATCAAGGATCTCGAAAAATCCAGGCATTGACATCAATCATCTCTTACAACCTATATATTTTTATATATCTGCAGATTAATGATAACCTATTACAGCATTTCTAAATAGATCTACTACTACTCAGAAAGTGGATAGACCCAACTAGAGGTCAGATGGTCAAATACACAGTCATCAATGGCAAGATAGGCTAATCTAGCAGTGAGCTTGTTATAAATTTTTATTATATTCGTTAAATTAGGTTATATACTGTATGTACCCGATGGAATTAGATTTTTACCCTTCAATACTTCCAGAGATATTATTTACTTAGACCTCAGAAAGGGGCATGTTACCTTTTTTGTCACCACTTGTGGCATCGGATCAGCCCTATTTGACTGATTTTTATTTAAGCGGAGCACTAGATTGGGATATTCTAAGCTAGAAGGGTGGTTTGTGCTATGGAGTCTGCCATATTAGGAAGATTGTGGGATTTTATGGGAGTTAGACCAGAAGCCTTTCCTCATGCAACCTTTCCTGCTTCAATCTGTTTTTAGTCCACAATCGTTAGAAAGATCAGAGGTCCTATCTTCATGCAGTCTAACTAATTTTGGTGGAATCCAGATGATTGGGTACGACTTTCACAGAATAACCGGTAAACCTGATTAGAAGAATATTTTTGATTTTTGGTCCTTAAGTGGTATTGAACTACAGACCTTGTGATTGCGACCTGGGAGCACTACCACTGTGTTATTTATTCACAGGTCTATATTATTATTATTATTATTTTTTTTTTTTTTAACTATAACCCGCAGTCAGGCCAACAAGATGTGTTTATTAATCTTTAAAAAAACCGATGTCAATATATTGGACAATTATATCATGGCTAAACTAAATCTCATACTGACTCACTCATCAACAGCTTTCAGTTCTCAAAAGAGCTTAAACCTCTAAGTGCGACCTTGGAGACAATATTTTGCTCCGGAGAAGTTTTGAGTAAAGACCCTCCTAACCTATCCATCATTGCTAGTAGGTTGCCACTGCCAATTATCCTCCAAGGAACTGAATTTGAGAAACTACTAAAGGAGAAAGGGAAAATAAAAGGAAAGGGAAATCTAAAAATGTGCAAACACACTACATGAAGAAAAAAGGAAAAAAGGAAAATAAAATGCTCCATATCCTTCAAAGGACCTCCACTAAAAAACCTCCTCTCATTAGGAGTCAACCCTTCTAGGATATTCTTCTTCTTCTTGACCGTTTGAGGAACTTATTCATTCGTGATCTTGATTATTTTCTTGCAACCGTCTGAGGTACTTATCACCTACTCGGATCCAGCACCTTGCTCGTCACTTCCTTTTTTTCAGTATTAATTTTTTATCCACCCACATAGACTTAATGACTTATAGTGGATCCCAGGTTCTTATGTAACCTTTCAGTCATATTGTGTAACTACCGATATCTTCCAGCAGCCACGCCTAGTTAAAGAAATTTTACTGTCGAGCATCTTCCATTGCCCAAAAAGCCAGATTCCCCAACAGTCTTTTTGCCTTGCAATAGTATGAGAGTTAAAAAGAGCATAGGAATCCTCGTCGATTACAATATCATTACACAATGTCTGAA